TTAATTATAATACGATAAGAAGCTTGATAAGTAAACATGTAAAGAGCTGATTGAGGACTTGGAAATAAAAAATTAAATACACCTCTAGGACCAAATAGTCAAGATTGTTACACAGGTCAAACAAGCCTCTGTATAGCTTGACATCAATAGTGATTCCAGAGTGTCATACAGCACCAACAGTGCATCAAGCAAGGAAGCAACCGTCTAATTGTGAAGCCAGATTAGTTTCTATAGATAGCATCGGTAATGGTAAGTAGGGACTTTTGCTTAACTAGATAGTTGTGCCGGTTAGTTGGTGTTTGTGAAATCATTAGATGTTTTCCTTTCATCAAAGTCATCAGTTTTTTGTATCTGTCTGCAAAGCTCCTGAATAAAATTGAAATTTTTACAACCTCTTCTAGAACTAGTGAAAGATTAGGAGTGAGAGAAATCCAGCTGGCCACTGTGATTTTATTTTCTTCTGTTTTATCCTTTTGCTGTGTATTTTATTATGAGGGTTTTTTTTTGTTTTTCAGTTGAATTGGGGTGTGGTGCTAGCTGATAATGTTTTGGACCTGTGTGAAGCCTCATGAATAAAGTTAGCAAGGAAGTTGTTATACTGAATACTAGGAGTCTCTCAAGTGTTGCAGTAAACAATAGTGTAAGCCAATCCAGCTAACAGCTTTTTCTCATCCATCTGTTTTCTTTTGCTTATTCAATTTAGGATTGCAGTGAAACTGGAGCCTATCCAAGCTATATTACATTTCTAAGCCATTGTGGAAAGCCTTGGCAGGACCTAGAGCAGGGATGGACAACATTTTGAGCCACAGTAGACAGAACAAAGACAAGAACTTTCTGTTAGAAAATGATACATTGGTCAGGCAAAATTCAACAGCTCCACTGTCCTGGCCTGCAGCTGTGCTTTGAAGATGCTCTGAAATGTGGAGTGCAGGTTCAAGTGTCACTACTCCAATCTCACCAAGACTGCAAAGACTACCATCTCATAGTGTGGTTTCTTGCTGAATTTAATGTGTAGCTGAGCCTCCTTTGTGTGATTTTTTTTTTTTTGGCAGGAAGTGGTTTAGTTTAACTTTCAGTACATTCAAGTCATGGTCAAAATTCTTAATGAATGGGAATTACTCTGTTATAAAGATGTGAATGGTAACCACTAAAGTTTTATGTTCTGTGTCTATAAACCGCCCCTCATTCTGAGTTGTGTTGACTTAACAGGGTCAGCTGAGGTCTCCATTGCTGTAGCCTGCTTCTGTGGTCCTGTCTGCACATAACTAATTGCTTTTATGGTGTCAGAACTGTGTTAAGTTACTGCTGGAAGTCGTATCCTTTCCTGCTGTTGTTTTCCTCAAGTGAACTGGCACAATTGCAGCTTTTTCTTAATGTTTCAGCCATCAATCTGCTTTTCAGTTTTGTAGGGTTTTCTTTCTCACTTAAAATGTAACTTTGATGTATTTGCTGTGATAATGTCACTAGTCACTTATTAAAAAAATATTACAATATATTTCATTCTGCAGCTGTTTAGCCAGAACCTGTTTTCCTGTAGCTTCCAGTATTTTGTCAGTAAGTTTTGATACTATTTTTTATTAAGATTGTTATTTAATAGTGTTGATTCTGCGTGGAGTAATTTTGTGCCTGCACGCCTTTTTTGTAAGTCTATTTCCAATTTGTGTATAGTATTTAAAGCAGTGTAATTATATCTAGTCTACTTATGCTATAGCTGTTATACAGTAACTACTAATCCACTTCCAAAACAGCACATGCTAATTCTGTAATTTCTCTGCCAGTCCTTGTATAGATTACCCCCCCTCCACCACTGTAGTACTAATTCTTCAACTTTTATCAGCTTCTACTAAGTCGAGATCTATGTAACATCTATGTAAAGAAAATACACAAAAATTAGAGTTTTGAAGTTGTTAAAGAGCAATGCAGACAAATAAAACAGTTTAGATAAAGGAGGAATTCATTTTAAAGCTGGATTTTACTGGCTCTGTCCAGTAGAATGAAACAATCTATTCTGAGATGTGTTTGAGTGAACCTGGAGAAGTTGGGACCAAAAACAAAAAAAAAATCCCAAACAGTCTGTTTTGTTTAATAAAATATAGAAATATATATAAGCATTAGTTAGTTTCAATAAAATAAGTTGCCAGAACAAGAACAATGATAGAATGGAGAATGGCTTAGGTGTTACAGTAAAGGTTAGCTTTAGGTTAGAAGACCAAGGAAGGATGAGATAAGTGGTTTAGACAAGAGAATAAACTACTTAAAGACATTTACAATTAGATGAAACCGAAAGAAGGATTGCAGCGTAAGAGGAGGCTGCAGTAAAAGCAAAACTTAAAGAGCAGCTCAGATCACGAGGACCACCCCTGGAGAGCAACTGGGTGGATATCCACAGTTCACAGTGGAAAGAATATTTTAGTTTGCAGAAAAGTTGCTCAGACAGGACAACAGTCTGTACAGAAGGATCTGCAGATAGGAACGTCCACTGGAAATTTGCACGGTAGCCTCTGGCAGGCTTCCAGCCCAGATAGACTTTAGTCACACACAACTTTTTCTGTGGTCAGCTGGCACTGCAGCCAACAGTCTGAAACTCAGAACCATAACCTTGAAATGTACAACAGACATTCAGCTTATTTTGAGATCGACTGCTGATGGTTATTTTAATTGTACAAAAAGCACCTTTAATCCTGACTTTAAATGAAGTCCAGCAGTCCAGGCTGAGTGAAGAGCTGGCGTTGTAACCAGAAGTGAAACCAAAAAGTCATAAAAAGTAAAATGTGTGAGAGCTGATAGCTCTGACCTCAACTTATACCAAGGCCCTGATAAGACGCAGCAAGGAACTGGTAAAACTCTGTGTGTGTGTGTCTGCTGCATGATAAACGTTTTGGGTGTGTAAACAGGGCTGTTTTTCTCTCTCTTCTTGTACAACATGTAGAATAGTCCCCAGCTATCGAACAATTATAATAACATCAATAGAGACCTGAAACAATTGGAAGAATATTATTACTGCAGCATTTAGTGAGCTGCTCTGCCTGGAACTGTAAAAACAAAATGTGCAAGTCTCTCTTTTGTCATCAACTTTATACCTACACCTCCCATTGTTTTAATTAGCTTGACTTTATTATTGTTTTATTCTGCTTAAACTATTACCGGCTATTACTGTCGTTTAAAGTAAGACTTACATCGAGCCCCTGCTATGGTGAAGCATGTGCTGAAGGGCAGTGGCCAGAAAACGAGTACCACTAGTAAACAACACTTGTTCAGTTGTTTGATAAATTGAATCTGTATCATTAATTGGAGTAATCGGTTTAATCCAGAGCCGCTTACACCCCTGCTGGCACAATACTTTGACCCAGTAATAAAATAGGAAGTACCCATTAACTGAATTTAGGTCACCAAAGATTTAAACGTTAAACAACAATTTCAAAACCATTTTGAAAGCATGGCTACTCAAGTATTGTGAAAACACGCAATTCTCTTGTCTGCTGAGGTTTGTGCAGCAAATGAGCACTTAGTACTTGTACTCATTGTATTGGAAGCAGCTCTAAAGACCTCTGTAACCAGGCAGATATCCATGGCCAGACAGGGGTCAGCGCCTATCTGAAACAGGAAGGCTTATCTCAGTCAGTAATAATGCCTACCTACTGACGGTTGTCCAGAAATATTATCATAGTTTTATTTGTATTGCACTATTTTTCAAACACACGGCTAAACAATGGATCATAGTTTGGATAAAAAAGTTAAAAGAAATGATAATAAGCTTTGCCAAAAGGGAAAGCTCAACTATAAAAATGTTTTCAGAAGTCATTTAAAAGTTACCACTGACTCAGCTGATTTAATAGGACCGACTTATTTAAGTTACATGACGGCGTTTCACCTCATCAGTGTCTTTCCCACGACGTTGGGAAAGACACGTCAGTAGAAAGAATAAGTCTTTCTACTGAATTCATCAGTGGAGTGCTTTCATGGCGTAATGGTTTATTATTGTGACCCCCCTGAGCCCGGGCTCAGTGGGTCACAAGCTTATATCTGCATCCTCAGTACAACCCGGATGTAGTAAATTGGAGGGCTGTTTGGGAAATGGCATCTGGCTTAAAGGTCTGTCCCAAACCAAACATACAGATCCAGCCCTTTGGGAAATAAGGGAGCAGCTGAAACTACCTAGCACTGAATTGGTCTGCAGTCTATCTAATGTTCTGGTATTACAAATATACACAAATCAGAGACTTCTGAGTGAGTCATTCCAAATACCTGTGGCTTCCATGTACCAGTGTAGTACACAACAATTAAAGTGCAGCTCTATTCACATTTAACTCTAGGTTTCTAGTTTGTGCACAGAAAGAAGAGCTCTTCTTAAATCAAGAACTCTGCAAGCAAAGGGCGTTTTAGCTGAGCTACACCACACAATGCTGACTACAGATATTACTGGTATATGGATATATTTTCAAATAAAGCACAGTGAGACAGTGTTGTTTTTATTAAGATCGTTCAGGTTGTTGTATTACATAAGCCGCTTCATTCATATAGTGTTTTTATTGCACATTTTTGCATCTCTCCTCTCTAAAAATCTTTGTGCATCCGTGTCGCCACTAACTCAGAAGCTCACTTGCAACTAAAGTTCTTATCTATATACAGTACAGGTGCCGGAAGTGCTCAGTGTTGTCAAGTTAACAGAGGTCAGGATATTATTACAGACAATGACACTGCAAAGTTCTAGTTTTCACTGCTTGTAACTGTTACTGATGAAATGCAAAAACAAAACAATTTTAATATGCAGAACTCCCCCCCCTCCAAAAAAACCCTCAAATCCTTAGCTTCTATCCAATGCAACATGTACTGAATGGTCAGTTGTAAAGTAGTATTTATTAGCAATTGCTGCAAAGCAAAGGTTGAATACCCCCC